TGTTTGTTGTTGTGGTTGTTGTTGTTAAAACAACTTTGTGTTCCGGTTGCTCAATGGAAACACAACCTCCTAATTCTGTACTATTCGAGATGTTAACAACTTTGCGTTCTTGTGGCTCCATGGGAAACAAACTTGGAAAGCTATCCGAAATGAGTTGTTGTTCTAAACCAATCATAATAACTTCTGGTGTTTTGTTCCGAAGCGCAGAATTGGGTTGATTTTTCCTCCGTTTGACAAACAAAAGGGAAACGAAACGAATGATCATGATTTTGACATGACGAGAAACGAAACTGTCCTACTTCATGAACACCCTAAACCCGAAAGACCCTATATGCCATTCAAAGGCACCCACCCACCCACATCTCGAACAGACCGAATTTCTGGTTTTGTTCACGCTGAGCATCACACTGAGCCACAAGAACAAAAAGGCTTTGTCACATCTCGAACGAACCAAGTTTCAGGTTTTATTGTCTTTCGGCCACACGAACACAAAACATATCGAATAGACCAGGTTTTAGGTTTTGAGCCACAAGAAAACAAACTTTGTTGACATCTCGAACAGATCAAGTTTTAGGTTTTGCTTCCACTGGGCCAGAACGCAGGGTGTGTTTACATCTCGAACGAACCAATTGGAGGCGGGTTGGGGTGGGGTGGATCTGGGCTGGGCGTGGCGCTCGTGAGTTTAGTTTCTCTTCATGTATAACAAATGCACATTGACATGCTCATTAGTTTCATGTCGTTGTCAATCACACGAACCAGTAAACCTGCAACCTACTGGTGTGCCATTTCATGTGTTTTGTTGTTTTTGCTGATGTTGTTAGTGTTGTTGTTTTTTTGCAGGTGCTATGGTTCAAGTTCAGGGTCGTCTGATTCCAGGAGAACGAGGGTATGATTCAATGAGAACACGGAAAATATCTAAACAACAACGGCAGACATCAACAAAAAAACAAAGCCAACAAGGACAACAACATCAACAAAACCATAAATGGAGCAACCGAAATCCCAGATGGAAACAACCCGGTTAGCCCCGGACTGGCATCTTTCCTGCATGTATTTCTTTCTTGAGTGTCATGGTCGCCCAGTCTCCAACGCGGACCTCACCGCCAGCCGCAGCCAGGAGGGCCATGTGCAAGAGGGACACCGCCTGCAGGGAGATGTTTGCGATGATCGAAGCACTCCTCCTGTGCACCATCCGAGACCACCTTGTCCTTCCGCAGAGCCCGGAAAAGCCGCAGCTTTCCCAACGCCGAAGACACAGCGAAGCCCTTCCTTGCTCGGCCAGGACTCAAGAAGATCCAAGCACGGACATTTAACTCTTTCGTAGAAGATCGTAGATGCCTATGGTAGCGTTATGTAGCGAAAATAATCGTAAATTTGCAGTGGCCAGCTCTCATTGCCCATCTTTTTGTACGGGCGTCGCTTTGGTTCAGGCATGCCCAGGAACAGTGTCAGCTGCTATCAAGGGTCTCCATCTCCGGATCGGAGGAGTTGATCCAACTTCCAAGCTTCGCAACCTCGGAAGCAGCAAGCGTGATAATGTAAGTCGCCTCGCGGGTCTTCGCACTGCATGCACATGGAGCGCTTGTAGGCCGCTCCAGAAGGCGCGAACCAAATGAATGCATTGAATGCCGACATCGCGCAAAGCTGCCTACATCAAAATGCGGAGATGCCAGTCACCCTCTGCTTGAAGGCATCACGTGAAAATAACACATAACCCTCCGACATGCAACTAAGAGCTACCGAGTGACTATAGTGTACCCACCAAGCAAAGCCCGAAACCTTCACATCAAATGCAAGAAATGTCTCTTCTTTCCCAAATTCTGGTCCCAGGCGCCGTTCGCAAGAAGCGCCTCAGTGCCAGAGATCCGCGGAGAGCATGGCAGGCAGCACCCAGGGCATCCAACCGCCCCTGAAAGGTGCATGTGTCGAGCAGAAAGACTCGGGCAAGCAACACCGTGTTTTGGCTTCGGCACCAGTCAGGTTTCCGCTAGGCTGGACGTGACGCGTGACACCCCCAGGCCCCCAGGCCTGTAGCATCGCAGCATCACGCTCCGCATTTGCAGACAAATGCAATGCCCGCACCCGCTGTCTGGCGCGGGGCAGGCGTGCCAGCGGCAAGACCAGCCTTACAGACGGCACATACAGTAGCGCCCCATGTTCCACGAGCATGGAACTTGCTTACAATGGCAATATCGGCAATATCGCATAACTAGCGCTGGCAACGTTACAGTGCGGCAGACACACGCGGCTACGAGTATCCAAACGACCATATATAGACGAAGCACAGGGGAGACCGAGGTGCATGCAGCAGAATGTAGACTTCAGCATAGAACTGCAGTGCAACTTGAAACTGGCCACCTCTCGATGTTACGAAGGCGCTCCGCGGGGTGTGAAAGCAGCTGGGCAGCCTGCAGTCACAGCCGGCGGAGGCTGTGGTCGCCACCCAGAATGCAAAATCGCAGCTCATCTTCCCAAGTCCGTTGCAGCTAGACATTACGACCTCCACCCTGATCGCTGAACACTTACTGCTAGGGCCCTAAGTGCTTTCCAGCATGTCAGCATTCGCGAACGCTATTAGGTTTTGTTTATGCCCCTAGAGAGGTTGCCGTTCGTTCTGATTTTGCGTGCAACAGTTTGACAACTCTACAGGCTGACGCGAGTATTGCCCAACGTCCAGGCCAGAAGCGGTCCTCGAGCTCAGAAAAACCATCAAACATGTAGTAGGACATCGTGAGTAGTATAGTATCCCTGATTAATCCTCAGCCCGTATGAGCCCGTCAGGTCTGGCAGCCACGTTGTTCCAAAGTGTGACCGAGACTGGTGCACATGTCTTGGCCTCCTCGGCAGTTGGCATCGCCTTCTTTGGCAGGGCTCTATGAATTCTAGGACGGCATTACACCCACGCCGGCTTTGTTTTCGCAGAATGTGTAGATGTGTTTGAAGAGCTTGCGGTTGCGAGGCTGGCAAGTCGAAGAAATACTGCTGATGTCATCGACACCTCAACTGTACGCCTGGCTTTCATCTAGCCATGTGGCGGTTGGAAGCAATGATGTGCGCTCCGCGTCCAGGCAGTGTGCAACCTCTCAGGCAGCCAGTTAACGGAAGTGACCCTTTCTTTCGGTTCCCACTCCGGGCGACGCTCTGGGCGGGCAAAAGGCGGCAGGTAGAATGGCATTCAAAGCTGGATGCGATGTACGACTTCCAGACTTGGAGACTCCGTGCAGCTTACCGCGAAAGATGAGCACAACCCTTCCCACCCATGAGAGGCCGGAGAACAGGTCCGGCCCTTGCGGCGTCTACAGCCTCGAGGCCCATGGCCAACGCCTCGGTCTCCTGACAAAACATCCGGTCCGGGCTCTGCCAGTTGGGGGGTGCTTGGGAGGGGAAGGCTTTGGAAGGAAACTCAACGCGATCAGCCGTTTCCATGGTCTGTTCCAAGGGCCTTGTGGGGAAGAGGAGAAACAACTTGAAACAACACAAATTCCAAAGGCTGCCTGCGTGGTTGGCATCTGGCCAAAAATGCCGCGAAGCACGATGGCGATGTTCTGCGTGCGTGATGTCTCGAAGACGGTGATCGGTCCGTCGTCCTGCTCGCAACTAGAGGCACTGTTTCAATCTTGGCCACCAAACAGCCACACCCACCCACACATACACACACACGCACACACCAAAAAAAAAACACACACACACGCACGTGTGCACACACACACACACACGTACGCACGCACAAAGACACAAGTCGCTCTGTTTGAAGATGCTTGGACTGTCTTGGCCCGGGTGAGAGCAGCAGCAGTAGCAGCAGCAGCAGGAGCAGTAGCGGTAGCGGTAGCGGTAGCGGTAACGGTAGCGGTAGCGGTAGCGGTAGCGGTAGCGGTAGCAGTAGCAGTAGCAGTGACAGGGTGGTAATTATTGTTATTAATACTATTAGTAGTCGTCGTCGTAGTAGTAGTAGCAGCAGCAGCAGCAGTAGTAGTAGTGGTAGTAGTAGGAGGAAGAGTAGTAGTAGAAGTAGAAGTAGAAGTAGAAGTAGAAGTAGAAGTAGAAGTAGAAGTAGTAGTAGTAGTAGTAGTAGTAGTAGTGGTAGTAGTAGTAGTAGTAGTAGTAGTAGTATAGTACTAGTAGTAGAAGCAGTAGTAGTAGTAGTAGTAGTAGTAGTAGTAGTACTAGTAGTAGTAGTAGTAGTAGTAGTAGTAGTAGTAGTTTAATACTAGTGGTAGTGGTAGTAGTAGTCGCAGTCGTAGTCGTAGTCGTAGTCGTAGTCGTAGTCGTGGTCGTAGCCGTAGTCGTAGCAGTAGTAGAAGTAGTCGTCGTCGTCGTCGTCGTCGTGTCGTAGTCGTGTAGCATAAGTGGTCGTCGTCGTCGTCGTCGTAGTAGTAGTAGTAGTAGTAATAGTAGTACTAATAGTAGTAATAACGATGGTAGCCATTACCACTAGTAATAGAAGTAATCAGGAATAGAAATAGCAATGACAATAATCGCAGTAGTAATCGTAGTGTAGTAGTAGTAGTAGTAGTAGTAGTAGTTTTTTGTCACCCACTTGGCACGTCAAAGACAGCACTGCAGGGTCTTGACTACTGACGAGGGCACCAGGTGAGCTAAGACTTCCCAAGGAGCACAAGCAAACCCAGCCCATCATACCCATCACACCATCACCCACGCAACCATGCAAAGCCTCAGCTCAACCAACCTCAAGAGTAGTAGTAGTAGTAGTAGTAGCAGTAGCAGTAGCAGTAGCAGTAGCAGTAGCGATAGTAGGAGTAGCAGTAGCAGTAGCAGTAGTAGTCGTAGTAGTAGTAGTAGTAGTAGTAGTAGTAGTAGCAGTAGCAAGAGTAATAACAGTAATAGTAGTAATGGTAACAATAACAACAACAATAATAGTAAAAATACTTATTAGAGAAGTAGTACTAGTAGTAATGGTAGCACTAGTACTAGTAGTAA